AATGAAATCTCGGGTAAATTGAGAAGCACTTCTCATACCCATTGCAATTTTAGATATTTCATGAATAAAAGGATCTCGGATTTTGTCCATTAATAGAAGAAGTTCTTCAAACTCTCCAGTACCAATTTTAAGCTCACACTGTATGCAGCTGCAGGACCAACTCTCAGGCTCTGCACTCTCCCTGGCCTTAAGATGCTCCCGAATTTCCCTGACTGACCTGTAGGATGGATCATACTGAAATGGGAATTCAGGTTCAAGTTGTTCAGACTGAAGCAAAGATTCCTGGTCTTCCCCTTCTGGGGTAAATTCTGTATTCTTGGGCTTTCCCTCAAACATTTCAGAGAATACAGATGCTGCTTCTTCAGGAATTCTAAAGGAGCTTGGGGATGGGAAGCCAACCCCATGACAAAGACCAGGTTTGAATTCAACAGTGACCTCTTCCCAGGTCTGGGGCCTGGATGATGCCTTAAGTTCATCCTCAGCTGAATCTCTGTATCTAGAATTGGCTTTGTACACAGGACTGGGATTTAGGTCAAAGCAGGCCTCATCTCTATCCCAGAACCAGGACCCAAATATGGCCTCTTCTTCAGACTCTGGCCTGGCCTCTTCTCTGGCCACAGCCCCCAAACTGGACTTTTCCTCAGTCCAGAACAAGGATCCACCAATGGCCCCCTCCTCGGCCCCTGGTGTGGATTCACAGATGGCAGAAGCCCCAGCCTCCATACCCGCCTCTTTCTCTGCCCAGAACCAGGACCCAATAATGACTTCCTCTTCAAATCTGGGCTCTTGTTTGACCCTACCACTGTGATTAACATCTTTCTGGGCCCTGGGCTTCAAGACAGTATTAGGCTCTTCCTTGTCTCTGGTCCTGAAGCTACTATTGGCTTCTTCTCCAGGCAAAAACCAGGACTCCTTATAGTACTCATCTTCAGACTCAGACTCAAAAAAGTCCTCTCTCTTGGTCCTAAGCTTGGACCTCATATTTGCCTCATCCCTGACTCTGGGCCTGAACAGGTTATTGGTATTTTCCCCAGCCCACAAGCAAAATGGGTTGCCAGACTCCTCTTCAGACCCAGACCAAGAATCAATATAGGGATCTTGCTTGGATCTGGGCCTGGACCTGGGGTTAGGCTGATGTTTGGCCCTGTGCCTGGACCTGGTATTGGCCTCTTCCCTGGGCCATGATCTGATACTGGCCTCTTCTCCGGCCCAGAAAGAAGACATTGTAGAGGTCTCATCTGCTGACCAGAATCCAGACTCATTAGAGGCCTCCTCTCTGGCCCGGGGCCTGGGATAGCACCAAGACCCCATATTAGCTTCCTCCCCTGATCCAAACCAGGGTTGAACTCCTGTCTCAACCTGGGAGCAAGGAAACGTCTCAGTGTCCACATTGACCAGCTCCCTGTCCACAGACAGGGCCATAGGTTTAGCAACTGACCCAGACTCAGTACTGACGAGTGGCCAGGCTACAGCATTGGTCTGGGTCAGGCCTTCTGTTTGCGACATTGCCTCAGCCCCAAACTCAGTCTGGGCCCAAGCTTGGGCTTCATCTTTGGGCCTTGCCCCAGGGATTACCTTGGCCTCGGTCTTAGGACGTGCTCCCCCTACTGCCCTTGCTTCAGCTTTGGGCCTTGCCCCAGCCATGGCCTGGGACTCGGTTTTGGGCCTTGCCCCAGCCACTGCCTGGGATTCGCTTTTGGGCCTTGCCCCAGCCACTGCCTGGGTTTCGCTTTTGGGCCTTGCCCCAGTCACTACCTGGGACTCGGTTTTGGGCCTTGCCCCAGGCATAGACTTCGTCTCAGTTTTGGGCCTTGCCCCAGGCATTACCTGTGCCTGGGTCCTAACCTTGGGTCTGACCACCAACGGGACTTCATTCTCTCTTTCAGCCCCACCCCCAACCTCTTCTCCAGCCTTCTTTTCAGGCTTTGCCTGGGCAGCAGGTTCAATCTCAGCCCCAGTC